GTACTCTACATTATGTTATGTATTTTATATATATTAGTTAGTATCTGCAAAAGAAGAAATGATTTTTGAACATTTAGGAAAGAATGTGATGCTTGGTAAGAGTCATCATGCATTTGCCGCCATGACCAAGTCATGCCAACACAGTGGATATAATGTGTTTTGGTTTTTGCAGTAATAGTCTCCCATTTCGTATGTATGGATATATAAACAAGATGTTGACAGTGTTAAATTAATTTATAGTTGGTTGAAAATGTATCAAGGAATGTATATCACCTCTTCCTTTGTGCCAGTGCTTTATTATACTCCAGTTATTACCTGTGTGTCCTTTTCTTTAGCCCAGTATTAAGTGCTTAGTAAACATAATAGGTAAACAAATGAAAAAGTTAAGAGTCTTTAATGATTTAATACTAAATTTCTGGTGATGAGCTGTACGGTTTATCATTATCCAGGTCTATGCTGAATAAAAAAGACTAGATGATCTAGAAATACAAATTAGAGCACATTTTTTTTCCATAAAAATTATTGGAAAAATCTGAGGTAGTTCACAAAATGAAAGGAAAAGGCTAAAGTACAAGTTTTCAGAAAGGATAGCAGCTGGAGTAGCTCTGTGATTCTGGGTAGTATGATTTACATGATGGACAATCTTTTCAAGATGCCACTGCTCAAGCTTTACACTGTTTTCCATCCTTATGTTGCTCCTCTTGAGATTTACATTATCAGGAAAGTGGAAGAATGGCAGAGGTGGGGTTGTGTGCACCTATTAGATTTAATAGATTCAATAGATACAGTAGATGCAAAAAAAAAAAACCCCACTTAATTAAATCAGCATTCATTTAAAATACATATTTTTAGGAAAGTAGGAAAATAACACTGAAATTTTAGAGACAAGTCAAGAATATTCAGTATCAGCAGTTCTACTCTAAAAGTGCTATATCATGGAATATTACTCAGCCATAAAATAGAATGACATAATGCCATTTGCAGCAACATGGTGGACCTAGAGATTATAATATTAAGTGAAGTAAATCAGACAGAGAAAAACAACTATTATGTGATGTCATGTATATGTGGAATTAAAAATTTTTTTTAATTTACAAACCAGAAATAGACTCATAGACATAGAAAACAAACTGTGGTTACCAGGGGGAAAGAGGTGGGACTAATTAGGAGTTTGGGATTAACAGATACACATTAGTGTATGTAAAATAGATAAACAACAAAGGCCTAGTGTATAGTACAAGGAACTGTGTTCAGTTTCTTATAATGAACCATAATGTAATAGAAACTGAAAATAAATATGTATATATATAACTGAATTGCTTTCCTATATGCCTGAAACTAACATTGTAAATTAACTATACTTCAGTTTTAAAAAAGTGCTGTGTCTTAGGATATACCCTTCAGGTTCATAATATATTATTTTTAGTATGCTATTGCATTTTATTTTGTAGCATTTTCACTAACATTCTTGCTTCTCTATATACACATGAAATTTGTCACATGAAATAATTTTGGTATAAAGATTATTCTGACTTTTTGATTGAGGCAGGTAACCTCTAGACTTTGAAAACATTAATGTAGAGATTAATTTTTCTTTAAGGATTTGATAAAACTTGTCAAAATGTCTGGGCCTGGAGAGTGACAAGAAAGACAGAGGAATAGGAATTTTCCACCATCATCTTCCATGTCACTGAAGGATTGATTTTGACAACCTCCATGGACAGGATTACTTTTGTGGAAGTCTGGGTGTCCAGTGAAGAAGCACATCATTAAAGCAAAAAATCTGAGAATAGAAGCATGGAAGAGGGTAAGAAGAACAGTTTCACTTTACCTATGACATCCCTCTCCAGAGATGACACAGCTCAGTGCTACTAGAGACCCTGTCGGCCTGCAGTTTTTCCCTTGGACGAAAGTAAGACTATAGTGTGTGAGCATTTGGCTTCCCTAGCCATGTGGGATGCTGCCCCAGAGGCCCACTTCTTTCTCACTTTAGCCAGAGTACTGAGGTGATTAGTACTGAGGTTGGGAGAGCCTGGGAGCATGGAAGAGAGGTAGGGATTTACAGCAAGCAGGACTCAGAAATCAACAAAGGGCCATGGATCCAACTACTTTGTGGGTTCTGTCAGGAAGCTGCGTATGAGCTACTGGGAACACCTTTCTGCATACTCTGCCAGCTGGCCCACAAATACCTCACATGTTCCACACACCTCACCCAGCTCCCTGTGGCTGCATCACTGTACACACCCCCATGGATGGTAAGATGTGAGCTACTTTAGGTGGCTTACAGTTGTACACAGAAAGCCAGACAGGCTCTGTAGGTTCAGGAGAAGGTATACAACTTGAGCACTCTAGGGCACCACTCTAGGGAAAGTAAATGAGGTCATCAGTCAGCATCTAACCTAGATTTGTGACGTTGAGAGAAGGCATACAGTCTTAAGAATTCCTCTCCAAAAGGGAATAAGAGAGGTAGAGCAGGAGCATACATAGAAAAGATCTGCGAGAGCCTCAGGATTTGTACCTAGGCTGATTAGTAAAGGTGTTTGTTTCCTGAAGTCAGTCAGTAAAGACTGGAGGAAGTGGCTGCTTCTTCAAATAAAAGACAACAATGCAAGACTTCAAGGGATAAGAAGAATCAAGGAAACTCATGACACCACTGAAGGAACACATTAATTTTCCATTAGCCATCCTGAAAGAAATTGAGATCTATGACTTGGCTGAAAAGGAACTAAACACAATTGTTTTAAAGAATCTCAGTGGCTATAAGAGTACATGGGTAGATAATGAAATCAGGAGAATATATGAACAAAATGGGAAATTAATCAAACAGATAGAAATCATAAAAAGAACCAAACATTAATTCTGGAGTTGAAAAGACAGCAGACTTGATCAAACAGAAGAAAGGATCTGTGAATTCAAAGATAGGTCATTTGAAAGTATCCAGTCAGGAGAGAAAAAAGAAAAATGAATGAAAAGAAGTCCAGCCTATGGGACTTGTGGGCTACCATCAAGAGAACTAATAAATGTATTATATTAGTCCCAGAAAGAGAAGAATGAGCAAGAAAGGGGGCAGAAAACTAATTTCAAGAAATGGCTGAAAACTTCTCAAACCTGAGGAAAGATAGAACATTCAGGTATGTGATGCTCAAAGCTCCCTAAACAGGTTTAATTTAAAGACAGCTTCTCCAAGACATATTACATCAAACTTGTCAAAGTTAAAAACAAAGAGAATTTTGAAATATGTCAAAGATAAAGTCAAAAGGGTTATTAAAAATATCTTGAGATAAAGTAAAATGGAAACATACCCAAACTTATAGGATGCAGAAAAAGCATGTTTGTGAGCAAAGCATATAGTGATAAATGCTTTCATTGAGGAAAAAAACTCCAAAAAACAATCTAACTTCGTATCTCAAAAAACTAGAAAAAGAAAAACAAACTAAACCCAGAGTTATCAGAAGGAAGAAAATAATAAAAAAAGAGCAGAAATATGAAGTAGACTAGAAAAACAGTGTAAAAGATCATCAGAACTAAGAGTTGGTTTTTGAAATGATAAAATTGACAGATCTTTGCTAGGCTAAGAAAAAAGACTCAAAATCAGAAATGAAAGAGAAGACATTACAGCTGATACCACAAAAATAAAAAGGATCATAGGAATCTACCAGTAACAACTATACACCAACAAACTGGATAACTCGGAAGAGGATGGATTCCTAGAAACATACTAAGGCTGGATCATAAAGAAATAAAAACTCTGAATAGAGAAATGATGGGAAGGAGATTGAATCAGTTATTTTAAAACATGTAACAAAGAAGAGCCTAGGACCTGATGATTTTCTGGTGACTTTGACCAAACATTTAAAGAATTAATGCCAATTCTTCTCAAATTCTTCCAAAAAATTGAAGAGGAAGGGAACTCCCAAACTCATTTCACAAGGTCAGTGTTACCCTGATACCAAAGCTAGACAAGAACATTAC